TGCAGCCTTGTTGTTTACTTGAAAGCTTGTAACAACTTGAATCATCTTGAATTGTGGTGAAAAGATGTCAAGAAATAATGAAATTAACACTTAGAAAAATTTCTAAGTCTTGCAAAGTTTGACTTTTCACAATGACTATTGACTTTCTTGATTTTTTGATGTCAAATTACATATTTTCGAATTTATTGATGAAATGTGATCTTCGGAACTAAAATTTGATCAAAAGGTCAAAGTTTGACTTTAAGTTGACTACATTTGACTTTTTAACCAATACAACTGATTTTAGACCATCTGATCAATTGACTGAGCAATTTTGTGATCCAAGACTCGAAACTTGACAGGAGCAATCTTGAGGATCCATAATGATCCATGAAAGTCATTTGAAATATTAGAAGTCTAATTGTCCTTGTGCAAACCCAAACCCTAATTTGAGGCATCAGTGTTAAGGAGATGACTTGACCTAGTCAATACTTATGCAAGCTTGAATCATTGATGATCTTTATGAGAAGTATCTTGAGAAAAGGGAGGGAAAATTTTGGGGTACAACAGGTATGTTGTACCAGAATTCTTAAACTCGAAGGATATCACTCTGTAATAGAATGTTCCCCAGGGTATGATAAACATTGTTTTTTCCATGTCCTCGGGAGCCATCTTAATTTGATTATAACCGAAAAATCCATCCATGAAGGAGAATACTTTAAATTTAGTTGTACTATCTACCTACATAATAACACGTGGCTGATGGAAATCATATTTCAGACTAGCCTTGTTTAAGTCTATGTAATCAACGCACGTGCGGACTTTTTTGTATTTTTTCGGAACGGAAACAATATTGGAAATCCATTGAGGATATACTGACGTCACAAGGAAACTGACATCAATATGCTTCAAAGCATCCTATTTGATCTTAATTTCCATGTCAGGGTGATTTCTTCTCAACTTCTAATTGATAGGCGGGCATTCCGGCTTCAATGGAAAACGATGCTCCATAATATATCAGTATCCAAACCATGCATATCTTGATTGGACCAAGAAAAAATATCCACATACTCTTTCAACAAATCAATTAACCTTCTCTTTACATCGGGATGAAGAAGTGCCCCAATCTTAACCTCCTTCTGATCTTCTTCAAAACCTAAATTAATCGTCTCTAACGACTCTGTATGGATGAATGATGTCATACCCCAAAATTTGCTTGCTCTTTATTTCTAAAATCAAAAATATTTTCAATATTGGTTTTATAATATTATTTGATTTTTTATAAAAATATTCGCTTCCAAACCTATTTAAAAATATAATGATTTATTTCAGATCATTTGTATTTTTGAATAAACAAATACATGATCATCTTCATGTACTTTCAATTGGATTTTTATTTCGAATAAGTAATATAGCACAGTTGGTAAGGAATTAAGCTTGTAAGTATGAGGTTGCGAGTTTGGATCTTTTATGGTGCACTTTTTAACATTTTTTCTATTTCTTTTTTGTTACTAATTTTCTTTCTTTTTTTGGAAATGAGACTTTGGGATTTTCATACATTTTGGATAACTTACTTGCTAAGTTCTTTTAACCTAATTTAACTCTATAAATAGGACTCATTGTTGTCCTAATTTTTCATCAACAAATTAACACACTTTCACGATCAACAAATTAACTGATCCAGAGAAATCCATAATTCAATCACGAATCCACAAAAAATTGTTATTTTCTTCACTCTTAGAAATTCTTGTTTTTTTTGTTTATTATAGGATTGTTGACTATATCAGATAACAACCCCAAAATCGCTTTTTCAAACTTATTGGTGTTAATTTTGATTCTTGGCCGAGGATTTCAGGCCTCTATGCTATTTTCAATTTTATCTTTTTCCCTTCATTTTCAATTCCTTTTAATTTACTTGTTTTTTTTTTCTCATTCATATGATGAATTGCCTGATGATTGTTATTGTTAAGTTACATTTTCACACTAACATTTTCTTGGAGGCCAATTTTTCACATTAACACTACACTCTCACGGTACACACTAAGGCTGGACAGATTATTCCGAAACCGGTCCAATCCGACCTACCCAAGGGGCCCGTTAGTAAGCGGTTCGGGTCAAACGGGTTATCGGATAATCGGTTTTGCAAGAAATGGATGCATATGGATTGTACCGGTCGGTTTCGGATAATTTGTTTGGGTCCATCGAAATCCAAAACCGACCGACCAAGGTTACAGATTTTCAATTTTGTATTTCATTTTTCATTTCAGTTTCACAGTCCCTCTCTAATATGTATGTGCTGTTACTGCTAGGGTTTCACCTTCGTCGTTTACGACCGTCTTCTACCACCGTCGTCGTTTACGATTCTCAAGCACCACCATGCCACCACGAACCACTAACGATCAAGTAAGTTCTTCGTCGTTCTCTTTCTCCTTCTCTCTCTTTATCTCTTTCTCCTTCTCTCTCTTTATCTCTTTCTCTATCTACCTCTCTCTGTTTGTCTCTAACTTAGCAGAACACAAATCCAGGTTTTAACCCCTGTTTCAATGGCTTCTCCCTGTATCAGGTTTTAACCCTATAGAAAGTAGAACACAAACCGACCGATCCACCCCTGTTTTAACCCTAGTGCAGCAGCTTCAATGGCTTTTTGCTTATTCTCAAGAGTACAATAGTAAGAATATAGAATCATCCCAACCATGGCTAACAGAATACCCATTATGTTTCTCCAACTGAATGGATCCTGGAGCAAAGTATACCCAAATGCTAATACAAGGCATGATCCTACACTCTGATCTAAAAGTGTTATTATAGCTTTTGCTTTGTCTTTTATACTTCCAAAGAGTATATTTTCTTCTATAGTTCCTGATTGTATCCATGCTGATTGGGAGACATATGCAGCAGAACCACACACACTGACCTGCAAAATAATCCAATGTATTTTGTAAGAACTTTTACAAACTGAAAACTAAGGGCCTGTTTATAGCATAACCGCTTATCATATAAGTGTTTATGCATAAGCTGTTTCTATAACAAAAGATGAAATAAAGTCAAATTGTTTTCATGTAAGCTATAAGCTCTCTTCATAAGCTAACCTGGAGAGCTTATGGAAATAAGCTGAAAACAGCTTATAGACATGTCATAAGTTGTTTTTATATGCTCTCCCAAAAGTATTTATGCTAGAAGATAACATCAACTAAGTCAATCCAAACAGCCCCTAAAATGCAAATAAACAAATATAAATAACTTTTGTATTTCAGTTTACCGATTTAAGGCATGTCTGAGCTTTCCCTCCATGTGTTTGATGAAAAGCATGAATGACACATTGGTTGTCGATGCTATGTTTTATGATCTAAGGATTGAAAGGTCATCCTCTAAGCAATTCGATATCACCGCCATCCTCTAAAGATAAGTAACTCTTATTGGTTTTATTTACTGATCACAACGGAAAATTGGCATGCAATTAATTGCATATTTGATGGTTTATTCTGAATCTGTTATTTGAGTTTTAATTGAAGTTTTTGTCATAATCAAATGATATGCCAATGGCCGGTTTAGACAAACTGTCTGACTTATATTACAGCAGTTTTAGATGGCCGGTTTGGAGTATTAGATGGCCGGTTTGGAGGATAACAGGTACTTGTGACTGACGGTGTGGCAAAATTCTCGAGTAGGAACCATGTTCATGGCGTTGACATTGTTTCCGAAACAGTTGATGGTTAGCTTTTAATTGCATTTTGTTGACATGCCTCTTTTGAATGAATATGGTATGTACTTGTATGAATGAATGATTTTGAAACAAGTTGGACATTCTGTTTTCTACTTAATGCTCCTGTTATCCATTTCGGCGATGTGAAAATTGTTACTCAGTGGGTCTGCTTCTCCTCTTTCTGCTTTTCAGGTATGTTCTTCTTTTCAGATTAACAAATTTGATTATTTACATTACTTTTTGTCGAAGATATTGGGATTTGAAGCATATTGTATTGTTGCAGATGAAACAAGTGAAATATCCCTTGCTGACATATCCATTGCAAGCAGTTTTACATGTTTGTTTTAATTCAGATTTAGTACCTTATAGGACGTTCAGTGATGAGGAGTTACACATGTTAAATTAGGTGATGATGATTTATAAGTTTAGATTTTATGACTTCATTGTGTAGACCAATTAAAAAAGGTTTTATTACTTTTTTCCGTTTTTACAGTGGAAATATCTTGCTCTCTTACTTATTGGTTTGGTATAAGCGTTAATCACAATATCAGAGTCTACTGGAATTTCTACCATTGGTGATTCAAACAAATGATTCAATGATTATTGGGGTTTGTGTTATCAAGAGGAAGTTGTGGTGGTTTATTGGATTGGATAGGGTTGGTAGGTTTACTTGGGAGGGTTGAAAGGTTAAGGATTTTTGCATGGGAGAACAAGAAGAATTGGCACATCCACAATTTAATATTTAAGATAATTAAAAAAATTAAGATATAATTGAATTTTTTTATGACAATTTAATATTAATTAACCGAACAAACCGATCCATTTTAACCGATAAACCGATTAAACCGAATCCGATCAAACCGATTACAACTTTGGTCAGAATTGGACCTAATATTTGAATCCATGATTTTACATGGTTTGACATATTGGACCCAAATCCAGTCCAAACCGACCGATGTCCACCCTTAGTACACACCACACACAGTACATACAAAAAAAATAACTTTGTTTTGTCAAACCAAAAAGCAGAGTTAAACTCATCTCATGTTTTTTTTTTCTATGAAACAATAAACCCGTAATTATTTCCACCATATTCATAAACTGTAAATTTTCTAATTTCCAAATACTTCATATTACAACACAAACCATTCTTAGATTCCTCACCATGAACATTCATCGATTATCATAACAAAATTTAAACTCTAAACATCAATGTGATTTGAGTTTTGCAGGAAATGAGTTGTGTGGATTGAATTTTTTCAGGAAAAAGAGTTTAACAGAAAAAGAAAAAACAAATAAAAGGAGCCGAAACTGAATCTCAATCCCTCTCCAAATTAAGCCGCCAAGAAGCCAACAAACCAAGGTTCACAAATTGTTGCTGCTCTCGCTTTCGTCGAACACTACCAGCGTCCAAAATTGTCGCAACCATCACCATGACAATCACCGGTCGACTACAACTCCGTGACTGGCGATTCTGATATCCTACAGATCCGCGGTGCTCCTCAAATCGGCCGACACACCCCGCCGCGAGACAACTTTCTCCGTTGAAACTTCTCATCCCATAAGCAACTTTGCCATCACCAGGAAATCCTGTCCATGCCAACAGCAGACCTCGCCACGAGAAGCACCGTCAGTGACCCGTAGATCATTGTGCATACACCCACTTGTCTTAGTTTTGATTTTATTTATTAATTAAATAATTTTAGAATAAGGGTTATATGGTTAAGATTATGGGCCTTGGACTCAAATTTCTTATCCTCTTACTAACTTCACACATCCTTTTAGAAACCAACCTCTATTTACAAATTAACACCTCCTTATTTTATTATAAATATTTTAATTAGGCTAATGATACTTGAGTTTAATTAATTTACTATTTCATTTGATTTAGGGTTAATAAAAAATAACAAATATTTTTCTTAAATAAAAGATTAATTCAAGCATTCTATAAATAATAGGATGTCAATCTTCGAATAATTAAATCGGTCGACATATCGTCTACTTGTTTACTATTCAAAATCAAATAATTAAAATCCACGCAACTCACCAAATTCCCCATCTGCGAATGACACGTGGCTAATATCTGGCCACGTGATGAGGAGACTATATCAGTCTCCTATGCTCTACGTCTTAATATAACTAACCAATCAAAAATCATTTTCTACTAACATAACAAAAACAACAAGATTATTTTCGAAAAAAGATTGAATAAAATTATTTTCAAAATTAACTGTGAACTTCGTCTACGCTCACACAATTTTCAACCCAGACAAGGTTCAAGGATAATTCAAAATCAATTTTATGCAATCCTATAAATAACACCAACTAACTGCGAACTATGAATTGGGACTATGATTTCTCATAAGATGATACGTAGGCATACGACTAAAATTGTGGCGAGTTTCCCAAATAAAAAACTAAAACCCTATTTCTTAAAGATTGCACTTCTAAACCCTAGTATCCTTGTGAACAAGGTAGATGAGGGGTTCCTAACACCTTCCCTTTGTCTATAACCGATGTCACCTTAAAATGATGTCACCTTGAATCACACTTAATGATGATGCTCATATCTCCATGAAATTTGTTAAAGAAGGCATGGAAATAAACTCATGAACCTATGGAGTTTCTTGATGCATCAACACATAATATTTTGAGATAAATGACCATATGAGGTTGGAAGATGCTCAATACATACCACTTAGATGATTGGGAGAAAACTTTGAAGCCCAAGCCCCTTTGATTCAATGAATAACCCATTGACTGAAGATCAATCCTCAAAACACTGGCTTTAGGAGATAGGATAGATGCCCTTGAATCAATACCTACAATGTTTAAAACATGGAATATATCTTTTTTGGATTTTAGTTAAGGATTAGTAAACATAAGATACACAATTCAAGGTTCCTTGTAATCCATCAAGGACAAACTTAAACATAGGAGAGAGTATAAGTGATAGCTAACCCAAATGTGTGATCTTGATGCATTGTGATGATACGAAATGATGAGGGATCTTAGGGGGGAAATCAAGGTATAATAGTTGTCCTTATTTAAGTGTCTTCTATCCGGAGATATAAAGGTTAAAATATTCGTCTCAACGTGATTGAAGATACTTAAATACAAAAACAAACCCTATTTTTGTGGCGCTAAGATACCATGAAATGCTTATGATCATGAATGTAAAAGACGAACTCCACAGGGGAAACAAGACACCAATGGGAATAACAAAATAATGTAGACAAAGCTACAACATAAGACGGACTAAGAAAGAGAGTTCATCCAGGAAAATAAATCACTAGTGAAAGACACGACTCTGAGGATAACCATGAATAGTCAAAACACCAAAATCACAGTTAAAGAAACAAGATGAAAAGTAGGATTCTAATCGGGGGGATTCTTAACAATGAAAGAAACAAGCCAACAAGAAAGTAATCTTTAAGAAAGGATTATCGACTTGGCTGGGGAAAGAAACTTAACTCCGTTGGAGAAAATTCAACTCCACTGGAAAAAGAGGATTGAATTCTACTAAGGAATAACCCGAAGAGGAGAAAGAGGAAACAAGATAACATCATCTTAATAAATGAGGATAACACTTACTCACAGATGACGATGATGAAACAGATAATACCGACCTACAGTCAGTAAACTACCAACTCAAATGAAGGTAGAAAAGTAATAAGATACAAACCCATAAATGACGATAAACTACCAACTCACAGATGAAGGTGTAAAAGTAGAATAATATTGACTCACAAATTTAGTGGTAACGATTGACATCAGTATTGTGATTGGTAATATTGACATCAGTGCTGAGACTGGTAATGATTGACACCAGTACTGAGACTGGATACAGCTTAACTCTATTTAGGACCAACTTAATAGGAGGAAGTGGTGAATACAAACCCTATTGTATACAGAAGCCTAAAAGGGTAGTATATGTCAAAGGAGGTGAATACCATCTATCAAAGATGTGATAGTCTAACAATGTTAAACCCAAAAGGACATAAGAGTGAATACCACTTATCAAATATGTGATAGTCTAACAACGGTATACACAAAAAAGTGGAATGAATACCATCTATCAAAGGTATGATAGTCTAACAATTGTAAACAAATAAGGATATAAGAGTAAATACCATCTATAAAAGATGTGATAGTCTAACAATGGTAAACCCAAAAAGACATAAGAGTGAATACCATCTATCAAAGATATGATAGTCTAACAAAGGTAGACACAAAAAAGGGGAATGAATACCATCTATCAAAGGTCGGATACTCTAACAATGGTAGAAAACCAAGGATAGTTTGGACACTGTTGTTGCAAGAACAGCAGATAATGAAACCACTGCAAAACCAAAAGTCAAAATCTTAGAAGAAGTATGTTCGAACAAAGATTTGAGTTTGGCTGCAAGTGTACATAAAAATTCTCCAGTGTACATAAAAATCTAAGGTATGTATCTCCCCAAATAATTTTTCGAAAATAAATCTATTATATCTGAAGCTTTTCTGTTTAATATATTATTTTAGTAAAATACTGTTAGACATTGGAATCTTAAAAGATTGTCTCCATGCATTAATTGTTTAACTAAGAGTGTACGTCTTCTCTTTTGTCTGACTGCATTAATCACTGAGTCTCTTAAAATCAAACTGATTGACACAACTCTTTGGAAATGAAAAATTGTCAGCATGCCTTATTTTTTTCATCTTCAAAATTTCACTTATCCCTTCCTATCACATGTCTTGAAATTTGTCCTATAAATATTCTTTCTTGACAAATCATTGATTAAATCCATCGGAAAAAGTTGTGTTAGGTATTTAAAAGTATCTTTCATCTTGTCTGTCACGATTCCTCTCCATTTATTTAAAGGTCTTATATCTCATTGGTTCATCCATTCCTTGTAGTCTCTCTATCTTTAGATTATATATATATATATATATATATATATATATATATATATATATATATATATATATATATATATATATATATATATATATATATATATATATATCCCTTCTTATGGCGTCAAAAACATTTCTTGGTAATGAGGAGCTTCTTGAGGTCATTCATGAACTCCGTCCCAACATTCCTCGTCTAAGAATTGATGAACTCAACTTAACCCAAAGTGTAATAGTGAAGGCGTGGCCCATTTACTTTGGAATGTTGCATTTACCAATTTATCCAAATTTGGTCAAAGAATTCTTGAAGTATGCTTCTGTCAGTTTCAATGGTGATACGGTCATTTCTAGTGTCTTTGGTTTTCCAAATACCATCACTCCGCCAACCATTGTTGCTACGATTGGTTGCACTCAAACTAGAAAAATTATGGACGACTATCGGGTCAAGTTCCCCTTTATTGAGAAACTCTTCACCATTCATGACATCTCCGCTCTATTTGTACCACAAATCCTCATAGCCTCCTTCTTTTACCTAAAGTCTGGTTCCAACTGCTACTAACCAACTTCTGCACTAGAAATATGAACATCAACTCTCTGTCTTATGACGACAGACTCTTCATTTAGTTCATTATTCATCATGTAAGGGTCAACCTGCCTCAGACCATCTTTAATTTCCTTAAGGACTCAATTTTTGCTTCCAGAAATTAGCATCAATCCTTCATCCCGTTTGGAAGAGTCCTATCTGCTCTGTTCTATAGGGCTGGAATAATTGAAGATGTCCGTCGTGTAGGATCTATTGATGCTCTCTTGGATGTTAGATGTGAGGTTCTTGAGCTGTAGATGGTTGTGTGTTCACTATGATTGTTGTTGTTGCGTGTACTACTTCGTTGTCGTTGTTTCGTCTTATTTATCTGTGTTTTCTTTGAATGTATTGTGTCTGCTTTACCTTCCCGATTAATGAATGAAAGGTTGTTTTGTGATATTTTATTCATAGTCTCATTATGGTATAATGTGTTCTAACAAATCTCCATATTTGTTTCCATAATATTTTCCCAAACATATCTATTTTGCTTTTTAATAAAAAAATTGTATTTTCTGTTTAAATTTTTTTGGGGGAGAAAGAGTGTATGATTTTGATTGTACTTAATCTCAGAATTGTATCAAATTGCATATTGTTAATGGTAGCTGTTAATCTTATCCTGAAAAGGGTAAAATGTTAGCTGAAACACCAAGTTATGTAACATGAAATGTATGATGCAATGTATTGGTTTTATTTATGTTTACGATATATGGATGCAATGTATGCGCATGTGAGCTGATTTGCTATATTGTTATCGGTTTGGGGAAAATAAATCCCTGACTGCTGCTGAGGATATGTAAGTCTTCATGTCTTAAAGTCGAAGTGTTGATGAATTTCAACTGAGAGAAATAAACTCTTGTTGTAAGGGAAATGCCATCTATTGCTCGTAAGATCTGCTTGAGGAAACCTGAGAATCTTGACGACTTCTATTGGGGATTAAATAATTGGAGTTTTTGTTCCGTTGGGGAGTATTGAAAACTCTGTGGGGAAAAAGTTTTATTCCTGCTTGGGGAAAAGAATTCGGGAGTCTCGGTTGTCTGTTGCTTTACTGGGGAATTATCCTTGGCTGGAGAGAATTAAAA